CAAAGATTCTTTAAAGGGTGGCACTAGAGGTGAATTTATGTCATTTACGTTCATGCAAAATGTGCAATGGCAAGCGATTCTATAGGTATTGTGTGAGCGCCCATCCCCCTGCCTAGTGGGCGGGATTGAATACCTACTCCCAAAACTCTTGACCTCTGCACTAGGCGAGCTTTAGCTCACCACTTATCATTCAGTACCTCCCGGTTTCGGGGTAACTACAAAAATCGCTGAAGCGATTTTTCCAACAATCATGAAAGATGTGATTTTGAATACAAACGTTTTGCCAGCAATGCAACTCTGCTTGGGCAATCTAATCCGATTAAGCTCTCGTCTTAACTTTACATAGTTTGAAAGGCACATTAAGCCGACTTTTTAGAATACGAATCATTTTCATATATTTAATACGTTTGCGATGTATGTAATTTAAATTATGTTTATGCGATAAAGTGTTCACTACGCTACATAACCACGAAAAGGAAATGAGTGCCCGATGGAGGCTACTTTCTCTCATGCAAGAGCAATCCTATGCATTGGGGAGGGAAGATGAAAATCAGACCCAATTTTGCAAACCAGTCTCAGACTTAGGGTAACGACTATCAGTTTATGGTAAATAATTTAGTCTTGAGTGTCTTAGTGTCTGCAAATGCCGTTTCGATTCGATTCGAGTTACGATAATACAGGCTGGACGCTGGTCAACAGAAAATACCAATAATTATGCTGAACTTTTCGATAAAGCAATCCGGTGCGAGCTTGAAACATTTGATTGAGGGTGGAGTTCTTCTTAATATATATTAAAAATAATAAAAGACTACCGCAGAGCGGCCGGAGCCGCTAATACTAATATTTAATGTAAACAACCGTCATCCGTCATCGCAAATGCGGTATCATAGGTTAGGTGTGTTAGTAGGCGCATGCATATGTAAAATTTTCAGCACTGTTATAAGCTCTTCAATGAATCGCGAATAAACGAACAACAATTGTTAGAAGGAGCCAAAGAAGACCAAGCTGCCCGATGAAACGTAAAACCAGATAGATTTTTGAGCGAAAACGGTTTGATATTGAGTCAATTGTTTTTCTACCACTTTGTTGGCAATGTGATAATTATGTAGGATTCGTTTACATGGCTTTTATGCTGCGTCTATGATTATGATCAAAGCACTGGCAAATTCCCAACAGCAGGCAGCGTTGTTGGCAGAGGCAATCTAATTAATATAGATAATTAAGCCCAGAAAGTCAACCAATCTGCTGCGTAGACCGAGCGAAATAACTAAGTTAATCTACCTCAAATCCTCGCTGTGTAGACACATGTATGCATTTATGAAGCACTTAAGGGAATGAAGTTTTAAAATGTAGATAAGACTTGCTTTACTGCTTCTTTTTTTTTTTTCTTTTTCTTTTGTTCCAGATATGGTACAGTAGAGCATTACTTATGAGAATTTTTTTTGCAAAATAAAATTTTTTGCCAATTAATTCAAATCTTTCTTAAAACTTTCGTAAATATAAGAAAAGACAAAATATCTGTAATTAAAAAATAATAATAATAATAATAATAATAATAAAAAAATCGTGACCTACTTCTTATTACATTTATTTTATATGTATAAAAATAACTCCATAGTAAAAAATAATAAAACTTATTTTCACTACTTACAAGGCACTCTTACGCTTACGCTTACTTGCGTTAAAAGAACTTATGTACAAGTTTTTTTTTTTTTTTTTGAGCGAAAACATGGAAACAAGAGGATAAGAAGACGAATATTAAAACGTTTGCCTCTTGTTTATTTCATATTCTCAAAATGAATAAAACATAAATGGGTGTGTCTTGTTTTTTTGTATAAGCTTCAAGAATCTTGAGTTGTTTGTTGCTACTTACCTAAAACGACATGTTGTAAAATTCTCTGCTTTTTATTTTTCATCTTTTCCTTGTTCTTTTTCACTTTTTTTTTTTTTTTTCTTTCGCTCTAAAAAGTATGCAGTTGAAAAAATAAAAAGCAAAACAGTACATATTCTTCTTATTTCTCTTTCTCTCTTCTCTCTCTGTTTGTCTTATATATAGCACGTGTATATGTTTACATTGTCTTGCACAAATCTGCACACCTTAGGATTTTTCTTCTTTTCTTTTTTTTTTTTTGTGCGTGTATATATGTGTACATTACTGTTGTTGATATAGGGGAAGAACATGCTTTACATACACGTTATAGACTCTGTTGAGAACATAAACTAATTTGCAATGCGGTTTTAGCGGTTTCCCTTTACCATTTTCCTCGTTTTTTTTTTTTCATTTTTACTTCATTTTTTCTTCATTTTCTCTAGCGCTAGTCCTCTATGTTTTTACTATTTACTTAGCTATATTGCTCATGTGTATCTCTGTGTGTGTGTGTGTATGTGTATGCGCGCGTAAACATTTACAGAGAACAAGGAATACACTTTACACTATTGCTACCGTTCTTTTTAGGGAAGAAATACCAAAATTTACAAAATGCTTGTTAACAAGCATGTCTTTCGTTAAACGGAAGTTTGAAAAGATAGACAAGAACAAACGGGACAAAAAAAAAAACGCCACGACAAACATGCACAAACTTACGCTATAATATATAGTTGACTATGATAAAATTTTGAATATGAAATATTTTCTTAAAACTTGCAAAAAGAAGCTCAATACAAAATTCAAATAAAATAAATAAATTTATTAAATGTTGCTTTCACGATCCTGTGCAGTACATATAATGAGGAAAAGATAATTCGAGCACCGGTCAGCAGTAACATCAAACGGGGTGTCACATCATCGGTTTTTAAGATCATCTCTATAATTTTTTATGTCAAGCAAAGCATTTTACGGAAGGTACTCTCTATTCTTCTTCTTCTCCTTTTTCTTGTGTTTTTGAAAGGAAAAGCATTGAGGCCGATCTTAGACTTGCCCATAATATTTTAGTGAAATGTACCAATACTAAGCAGATTTATTCACTCGGATATATCGATCAAATATACAGCAAAAGTGAACAAAAGCCATTTCCTTGTCCAAATAGATGAAATTGTAAAGCATCGCCTGTGCGAATGATGTATGTAAGGCCCAGAAGGAGTTAAGATGTATTCATCTGTTATTAAACCAATGAATTCAACATCATTTTCTGAATCGATTTGAGCTCATCCGTCCGTCCGCTAACTCTTCATGCGTTTTTTTGTTCAATCCTTAAGATTCTTGACAGCTGTTCACATATATATATATACATATGCGTTAATACATATGGTTTCAGGGTGAGATCGAGTCACTCCTTGGCTATGATATAGCAAAATATACAAAATTATAATATTCTCCGCCTTTGGATGACTTCTTGTGGGATTATTTGAATTGGTTGCTTTACAGCAATAAATCGGTTTTTTTTCACGTAATAAAAGAAAAAACTCTTCTGGTTAGGCATTAAATTGAGATGAGAAGAAAAATCAGAAGTTGATCGATTCATTTTGCTAATTAGTAGCGAAATCGTGGAGGAGCAATATATTTGGTTAGAAAACATTAAGAAAAATATTCGTTTATCTATAAAATTATTCTTGAAGATGAGGTTTTGAGGTCGTAAGTAATCAGCATTTTTGACAAATACACACAGAGGCGGACATACCTACATCGGCTATGCCATTTCCGCTGATTAGTAACATACAACACATTACTCATAGGATGGCATATGGTAACTGCTACGATTGACGAATCCATATGACGACAATCTCAAAATGAGAGCTTCATGTACAGTATTATTAAGTCAAGTGTAACTTGTAAACTAAAGTTGCGAATGACATGCAAGTTTCTTTTAAGATTGCTATTATCTATAAATCATAATTCGTCAATCGTCGCCATCCTATAGCTATATTTCATCCTATGACCTTATTGAGTAATGTGTTATATACCCTTTGGAGTCACATGCATGCATAGATCCTTTGACTTGCAAACATTTTGACTAAAAATCGCATGAATTCCAGAAAAAATTATAACCTTTTATATAGCATTTTCACGGCGACCTCTGTTACATCAAACAACAATTTCAAATTATTATCGAGCATTTACTGGGACCAGGGAGAATTTAATCAAACACGTATGGTCATTAACAAGTTTAAACTTATGTGGAACACGCTTCCAATAAAATATGACGAGTAAAGTGTGCTCTCCTTATTATTACTACATATATCTTTGCGAGAAGGTACGTGAGAGAAGAGTAGATCCTTTTTTTTCTTTTAAAAATTAAATAATATGCTCGCGACGACAAATGCCTTTTTCTAATCCAAGTCATGGAAGAGACCGCAAGCCACAAACAAGAGGTAGAAAAGTAGTACCCGTTGTTCGAAGTGTTGAAAAAAGGAAGGTCCAGTACTACTCTTTTGAAATATCTCTACCTCACTTAGTGCTAAGAAATTTGATTTATCGTCGCCAGGTCTACTCAATTTTTATTGAATCAGCAGTTGACTTATTTAGAAGACAACGTTTATCCACCAACCTGTCACCCGCTTTATCAACCAGAATTTCTTTATCAATTTTTCGTGAATTCTTTCGTTTCTGTCAAGGGTTTTGAAAAGCAATTTCCTTCAATACAAAGACACCCAAGATTGCCGTCTTCTCATTGTAGCTAAACAAATTCTTTGATGAAAATTAAAGAAAATATTTTTTTGGAAAAAGAAAAAAAAAAAATTTTCAATAGATAGATAGATAGATAACAACTTTAATTTTAAAGTCTTCCAAAATCATTTCTATTCTGTGTGTTTGTGAGTGAGCCCATCTATCGAATGGAGAAAAGCATCCCACTTTATTTTGATAAATATTTATTTAAGAGAAAAGTAAATTTATTTGTAATGTAAAGCTTGCTTTGCTCTTTCCCTTCTCTTCTTAATGATGTATTCGTGTCATAAGGACATACTTTGTTTGTAATTTTTTTTGAAGTTTTTCTATTTTTATTTCTACATTATTTCATTTAATTATTTATATTCATTTGATTTTTATCATTCTTTCGTTTTAGGTAAGTGACGATATACTTGCAAATGCCTTAAATCAAAATCAAGTAAGAAGAAATTTATTTAATTTTTATTTGTTTGACTTAATTTAAAATTTATGATTTTTTCTTCATTTTTGTTATTATTATTCTTAACCCACTATCGATTAATGGGAAATATGGTAATTTCGTCCTACAACTACAACTTTCGAAAATCATTCGAAATTTACGTAACAAAGAGGCAAAGATATAACGAAAAATAAATATCAACAATTACTTATGTGTAAACTCGGGAAAAGTATTATATAGCGTTGAGGGAAATAGCAAACGTAAGCCGCTTCGCTAGACTAGGCAGAAAGATCAAAAAGTCTTTGCATACAGGCTCAATGGAACCAATATAGCGTTAGAGAAAAATATGCACAGTGTATTTGCAGCATCCTCAACGAACGTCTTGAAAGAATAAAGTGAACGAAAACCAAGCAAAAACGTTGTTTACCATAAACAATTATTTCAGTTAATGCAATTGTCCACATAACCACTTTGCAATATGCGAAATGATCGAAATAGCGGTCCGATCCAAACCATTTTTAATAATGATTGTCGTAGGGCAAAAATATGCCAATGTACCAAATTTCATCAAAATATTGGGAAAATTTCGGTCTGTAGTTTGAACACTAGAAAACAGAACGGACAGACGGACAGATTCAGTAGGCGGTTCTAAATCGCTCAATATAATAAAATGTGATTCTATTTGATGTCTTTCTGGGCGTTGCATTTATTCGCAAAAGCTTTACCGTAAGCCAAAAGTAAAATATACAATACAAAACAAGTACGATAATTAGGTCCAACTTTAGGGAAATCTTAAAAAAGTTTTCGTTAAAGTACCGCAAAAAAGAAGCGATATAGAAAATTTTGACACACTATAATATTGATAAGACCCATCCACTTTTACACAGGTATTATGCGGTGCGGTTGTGTGCACGTATTTGTTGATTGCTTTAATCAGCGTAAATAGCCAAGTAAGTGATCATCTCGCCTACCAGGTCCGTGTGCGCGGATTCAAATCTCAATGCAGTAGAGCTCACTTTGGTCGTAATGAGTGCTCAGGGGGCAAAGATATAACACTAGATTGCGGTCGATTCCCTACACGTTCCTCTTTCCTCTCTTCTTTGCAATTCTTACAGTATTGAACGAATGGCCGCATTAATATTTGTTGTTTCTTTTAGTCCATTGTGTGGGCTAAGCATGTCCTTTGGCCAACTTCGCCTATTTTCGATACCAAGTACAAGTTTTAAATTTTGCTACCAAACTTTATCTTAATCTTAATTTTGCCACCTGGGGAATGTTTACCACAGGCTTTATGCGGAGGACGAACATGCCGAAGTTTAGTTGAGAATCGCTTACGTTCTATCGTGCCTAAAGCTCGCCTTATGATATTTTGCAAATCTTTTTACAATGTAAATATGCTTTTAAGTTCCTGCCGTCTTAGGTATGAAAATGCAATTCTCTATAGTTTTTGTAAAATCGCAGTTTGTATTATAACGAGTAAACAAAATCAATAAAAAAAAAATTTACATATAATTTTAGCGAACATGTGGTGGTCCAAACGCAATAAACGTTCAAATTTGTTTGCTCAACTGAGGCATTGGACCTTTAAGACTTTTTTCGTGTTTCGTTTCTTTTTCAAATAATTCACAAACACAAAATGGATTAATTGGGTTAACACTTCATCGTCGAAGTTGCCAAAGTGTGCCAATATTTGTTAGCCGTCGTAGAACAACTTTCTGCAATTTATACATAGCAAGTAAGAAATGAGTTTTAGGAAGCTTAAAAATTATTTGAGTTTTTGATCCGAGTATATCTTCTTGGCAATCGTTTAATGTTTTAATGAAACCAAAATAACTTACTTAATATTATCATTTTTATCGTTAAAGTATGCAACAAAAACTCCATTTAAATGATCCCTCTTAATATGCGATAAATTTTCAATTTTTTCAAAAATTTTTTTGCCTTTTCCTAATCATTTTATTTACAGAGAGGGGCGGAGAAGAAAGAAATAAACTGTTATAGATAAATTATTCATTATTGCAAAAATTCCTTAAAAATCCCTACAAAATCCTAGGGCTTTATAATGCTAAATAGAGACACATTTATGCAACCGTATACATACACACACATACGAGTACAAAAGAATATAGTTATAGAAATATATATATATATATATGTATATATATAGATAATAGAATAGTGGGTTCACAAAATTTTCAACAACAAATCCCATTAATGGTCGACAAATCACGTTTAAAAGGCATTTATGCACAAACACATTTATTAAAAATTTAAAACACATTTATTACATGCTTGCATAAATTCAAATTCAAATATAGCGCCAATACCTATACACGCGTAAGAGTTTGTGCGTGTGTTTGTGTGTGTGTGTGTGTGTGTGTGTGTGTGTGTGTGTTTGGCATTTTTGTATATAGGTGCACATGTATGAATGATGGAAGTGAGTGAACATTGGGAAAAAACTAATGAAGGATATTGTTTGTTTATGGGGCTCTCTACAATGATTAGATACGATAATGCAACAACAGCAACAAAAACAGGAACAACAACAGCAGCTGTAATGAAAATAGACAACAAACATATATGAATTGTGAATAGTCAGGCAAGCAGACAATACATGAAGAGAAACGGATAAAGCATCAGTTGCTGCACACACACAAACTCATCAATGAAGATAATGAAAGCGATGATGATGCAGCTTAGTCCAGTCAGTATATGGTAGAATAATGAAAATTCCCTTATGGTTATTCCACCAAAAAAATTTGCATACGAATTAAATGCTCAGCAAATGTATGGCCTTTTTTGGGGAGAGCATTAGAAAGATCGAGGTAGACAGAGGATGGAGGGAGAGATTGCGTTTCGAAAATGTATTTAAAATGCAATACTCTTGGTTGAGTGATTTTTTATTTATCGGCTTTTCATTTTGTGAGCTATAAATTTCCAGTCGCCAGTAATGCTTGCAAAACTTGATCTGCTTAATTAGCTATTGATTTGTTGTACAAACCAAACGTATTAAGTTTGTAGTGTTTGTGGTCACTTGAATCCAATAACAACAGTAACAACAACAATAACACATAGCAAACTGATTTTCTGGCATTGACATTAAAAACATTTCGCTGTCATCATATTTTGTCAACACATTTAATAAATCATTAGCTAAAAGTAAGCCACCAAAACCATGCCGAAACCGCAATGTTTTAACCAAAACTGAAAATTTTCTCAACAACAAAAACTTCCTATCATCACTATAGCAAGTATGTAGAGTAGGCAATAGCAAAAATTATTAAGTCGAAAGTAATTTTCATTCCCCGACCACTCATCTAACTATTTTTCCGTATAAAACGCATTTTAAGCAAGGAGAGCTATTAAATGCAGACATTCTTTTGTATAATTTCGTATAAGGTAATGTTGTTATAAAGTGGTGCTGCAGGAATTACAGTATGCCATATTTATCATTCAATTTGCAGAGTCCAAAAGTATGCAATGTCGTTTAGAATGTTCAAAAATATGTGGTGGAAATTCTATTGTAGATGCGTTATTATATTTTCGGCTTCTTTTCTGATCAATAAAAAATTAGAAATTTCAAAAGGAATTCAAATTCGAACAATAAGTTATTCAGGGATTAAATCCGCCTGAGTGGCCGAGTAGGCAAGAGTCTCGACTACCAACTCAATGGTCGTGGGTTCAAATCTCAAGTGCGGTAGAGTTTTTAATAAAGCCGAAAGCCTTAGATGCTAGTGCTTTACGACTTTAGTCTTAGAATTTATTCTCTGACTAAGTTTATAATAATAATAATATTCAGGGATTGTCCACCAGTAGCCAATATTGCTCCCTTCCTTTACGCGGAATAAGAATTGCATGCAGAGAGAGGCAATTGACACTTTGGAATAGTTTGCAAAAAGGCCATGAATGAAATTCTCGTTCAAACAGGCGAATTATAACAATTGTTAATCAAAGATAATAGTGTACTAATAACCTTGGGGGCGAAGGCGATCATGCTGGAAACTGGCAATATCATATTCTTTGGCCTATGGCTCCCGTGTTTCATCTCAACTGCATCAATTGCTGTTGGTAGTATGATCGGGTGGTGCTTTGATTTAGCTGAAATAAACCCACCACCTACCTATTAAAGCTGATACTGACAACCCTCCATTATGAATACACCTTTAATTGTTTCTATTTATTTCAAATTCTTCATACAGCAGATAGTAGCATAAACAAGTGTTTTGCTATTCGACCTACTCCGTATTAAGTTGTTCACATCTTTCATTTAATTGTTTTATCATTTAGGCGACAAATGATAATGATGGCGTTTATGTAATGACCCCTCAACAAAGGGATGATATGGCGGCTGATATAGCAAACATTAACGAACAACTACATCCTCAAAAATACATTCATCCTGTTTTTCTGAAATCGACATAACTATGTCGAGATGCACTTGTTGTTTGCATATTCATTTGAATTTCCGAAAACAACATCTCCAGCAATGCAAAAAATCTTTTCATTACAAATTCTTCTTCAACGTATTCTGTTTGGTATTTCTGTTGCAATAAAAGAAAAAGATAGAAAAAAAAGCCTTCCTTCGCATGTTATACGAATGCGCATGGATTCATTCAAGCAAGCAAACACTGGAGTGATAAATTTAAGCAGAATAAATTTATTTTCATTTGCATCATTTATTCTTACGTTATTTTACTACATGAACTCGAATTTATTATTCGTACTCGATAAGCGCAATATGATCCTTGCTTGAGTCTCTTATAATCATATTTGATATAAAACTTAATCCTAAAAGTCTGCTATGGAATTTCCTCTCAGTTCAGCAACAATTCTAAATAAACAACTTTCGCTTTACCAAAACAAAGTTATACAAGCTTCGCGGTGAATTCTACATGTCTACCATCGCTCGGTTAGCACTACTGTGCTCGAAAAGTATTAGATTTTTTATGTTTGTATGGCTCGAGTTCATACTAACGATTTTATTTGTTTTGCTTAGGTTA